TATATGCTATTTTTAATTATACATATGCTTCTAAGGACCAATTTTTAAATATTTTACTTAATGTCACAGACAGTTCTTGAAAATGTAAACTATAATAAAGTAAAAAACAAGTCTGCACTCAAAAGTAATTTATTGGTCTTTAAAATATGTTGCAAAGTAATAACCCTTTAATGCAAATGTGTAGATTATTAATGCTAAGGTAATAATGATACCCATTGTTTATTGATAACTCAGAAAGTCCTAGCACCTTACATTGGTTTATGGAATCCTTTTAGCAATAGAGGTGGACATTATTATTATTTCTGTTTTGAAAATTGGAAAACAGAGACTGGGGAGATTAAAGAACTGGCCTAATGTGATACCTGCAGCAAGTTTCTGAACTAGAATTTGAACCTAGATCTGCCTGGGAGCCCTGGTTCTTAACCATTGCACTCTGCTCCCAGAGTAACACCACTGAAGCAGATAGCAAGTAGCCTGGGCAAACAAAAACAACAACAACAATAACAAACAAAAAACACACACAGAATAATTATGTTGTTCTCATCAAAGATCCAGGACAGGAGACTTCGAAGAAGTCCTAGAGTGTACTAGTATAGCACACCCTGAGATATTTCTGATTCAGGCAGTCTATTACTTACATGTAACAAGATCCAGACAGATTGGGCGAACATTGGTGATCAAATCCCCAGAACCAAAGTGTTAACAGTGTATCAAAAACCCAGCAGCCTTTATTCCGAGCTGAATTGAAGGCAGATGAAATATTAACAGCAGTTATAGCAGCACAAAATGAAATATGAGATCCTGTATCAGAAATTATTAGTAACCTGTTAAAAGAAATGCTGAAAAATGGCAGTTACCAAATTAAAACTGAGAAACAGAGCTCAAATGGGAAATTTCAAAAAGTTTGGAGGAAAATAAATGACAGATTGTCCTCTTGGCTCTTATTACTATGCCATCCTAAATCCTACTTGGCAATACATGTGGAGGTGAAATAAGAGCTGCATCACTGCCAGTGCTGGCCCTCAAATTTGTAGTCCTAAGTGTTTGCGATGGTGTCTGGGATTGATTAGAAAAGTAGTTGGAATTTGGTAGCATTTAGCTTTTGAAGAGTCTAGAGACTCTTATTATGAAAGGCTTCCTCTCATTTGTGAATTGGCCCCTTTGCTCCACTTTTGGATGGCTGGCTTCCTCCATGCTGAGCTGCACTAAATGTTCTACATGGGAAAGCTATTCTCCTTAAACGCCTTCAAATTTAAAGCATCTATCTGGATGTGTTCATATTTATGACTCAAAATATCTAGCATCGAAAAAAGAAAGAGAGGTTACAAATACCAAATACCGGGTAGTAAATGAAGGAGATATTTTTCCATCGGGAACTGAGAGCAGAGAAATGACTGTAAGCAGAGTTGTTGAGTAGTTGATGCCAGAGAGAAAAAGGAAATGAGCTATAGAACCATAGAATCTCTGTGTTGGCAGAGACCGTGGAGTTCATGCAGTCCTACCCTATCATTTTTCAATGAAGACACTGAGACATAGGGAGTTAAGGGACTTGACTTGCCCTAGACACATAGTTGTTTACTGACAGTCAGGCCAAAAACATTTCCCAACTCCCAGTCTGGAACTCTGCAGTTCAGCATGCTACTGCCATCCTCTACTGAAAGTTAACACTGACCCAGCCTGGAACGCAGAAGAACTCAGCATAGATGGGGAGCAAGGAGAATGGTGAATTTTGAGATGGTAATCAGTCTGGGGAAAGAAGAGGGGAAACAGAGGATCCTCCTTTGTTGTGACTTGTTGGAAAAGCTTGTGCAGGACGTTTGTGTCAGTTTACTTCCCACAAAAAAATAGTAAAATATTTGGGTTGTAATTCCTCAGAGTTTATATCTGTGCATTCAGATTTTATTTGCTTAGTGAATTCTCTCTCATACAGGTTAGCTCCATGTAGATTGGTTTGTGGGGGGCATTGCTATGGATCCCTGTCATTTACATGCACTTAACCTCACTCCAGAGAACTTGTGGGGAGAATCTTCTTCACGGGACACTACTAATCCAGGGTTAGATGTAGGTTTGAGATGTAAGAACTATCTGCTATTAACACTTGTAGTGTATTAACTTCATGCAGAACTCGGGCCATATGTGTGGGGGCCTTTTAATCAGGCTCATGAATTAGGTAAAATAATTTTCTTTATTTGGAAGCACAGTCATTTGAAGTAAACCAGTGGCAAAGGGGATATAATAAGAGTGTCTCAGTAGGAGTCCTTGTGAAATAGCAATACAGTCTTTTAGACCAGTCAAATATTTTTCTGAATAGAGTAACCGGAAATGAGAGAATCAGACAGTATGATGGAAACTACAGATGGAATGCTGTGCATGGAAAGTGATTATATACAAGAGAGGGTTCAGGAGAGGGTAGGTGTGGATCTGGAAAGGAGGGGGTAACTGAAATCAGAGATCATGCTTGACCAGGTCTAGTAAAATATTCCCTGCCACAGTCACTGTTCCATGAAGAGATTGAGCCAAGAGGCCTGAATACACTCAGCTCAAGTTCAGAGCTGCCATTATTGTGGGAGGCATCAGGGAGAGCACATCCGGATTCGTGTTACACAGCAATCACTGTTGGGTGTCAGCATTCATCAGCCAGATGGTCAGACCCACAATTAATCAATTAGGCTGGGATGATCAGCTGGACTGTTTCCCCCTTTGGTGAAAAGCCCTCATCATGCGGTCAGGGCCAATAGCACTTTCATCCTGTTGCTTTTGGAGAAGCTTCTAAACATCCCTCTTCTTTTCTAGGCCTCTAGTTATAGGACTCTGGTAAGCTCCAAGCTGCTTTGACAACATAGATACCCCAAATCGAGATTGTAACAATAGATTTTTACCATCCTCTGTGTTTAAGTATGTTCAACCAATAGAAATAAGCTTTTGAAAGCAGCATTCTCTGAGGAATGTTACACAACTGATTTTACTAGTCTTTATATTGGCTCTACTCAGTTGGGTGGGACAACACTGGAAATGATTCGTTCACGGGGCACTTATGAGGATGATATGATAGTCAAATAAAAATGATAGTGATTTATTAAGTGTTCATCATGTGACTGATACTGCTGTAATAAGGACCAAACATCGGCCAAACATAGATTCAGCCCTTGTAATAATTCAATGAGTGCGATAATGTTCCATTTCAAAGAGAAGGAAACTGAGCCCAGAAAATTCATTAGCCCAAGGTTAAACGTTTATTAAAGATGTGTTAAGATGATTTAACACTCTCTAAAGTGCTAAACAAAATTTACTCTACGTTTTCTTACACCATGCATCTCTAAGGGATGGCCATTAGAAATATATGGTAGGTTCTTATTCCTTTCAAAGAATGTTAAAGAAATATTTTACTGGTGTTTCCCAACTCTGTTGATCTTGTTCTCTTTGCCATGCTATTCCTGCTGTGCACCATTTGACTTGGGATGGCTTTCTTCCTTATTTTGGGGCCATTACTGCTATTTGCTGTTAATTCTGTTTCCACTTCAGTCTCCTGGATACAGTTCCTCTAAGTTTGTTTCAGACACTAAGACTTTCCTGTATCAGTTGGCTTCTAAGGCAAGTTGCCTCCTCCCAAACAAAATGTTGGGTTACTGATTAATTGCTTACATTGAACCTTATTTTCCCTCTCCTCTTGCTATATCACTGTACTACTGCTCAGGAGAGGTGTTGGGAACTCCTCGTGGTGGGAAATATCGCTTCCTGATGGAGGTCTGTGCTGACCCCATTGAGTCAAAATGTGGGCACAGCATATTTCCTTAGTGTTTCATCGTTGAACTTATACCTTTCATTTTTCTCAGCTCTTCTCTACTCTCACTCAGTCTTTATTTGAGGAGTGCTTCTCTTTAACCATGTGTGACCTGTGTTCTGCAGGCTATTCAAGGACACTATTGTTCCAAATATACCTTTTTGAGATATTATGCTCTTACTTATTTTATGCAGTATGAGGCTTCTTTTTGATACTTTAACTGCAGCACTTTGCTTTTATTTGTTGGTTTCATTACTTCCCAAATCAAGAAAGAAATACCAAAATACTAGGATAGTATATAGGTAACCACCTGATTTCTCAAATCAAGCTCAGAGCACATGGAAGAAAAGGTGTTCCAGAAATCTTAATGAGCATCTTTTCTCCTCCAGGACTCTACCGGTGCCCTCTCTTTCTGACTGTGGTACTCTAATTTGTTCTGTCTGTGTTTGGTAGGCAGCTGTTTTGCATTTTTCCCTTGCTGCTCTCTTTTTCTACAATCCTACAGTCTTTACCCACTAGCTGATGAGGCTCTTTCATTGTGACCTGCAGTGTCTCCGCACATTGCAGAGCCGAGAGCACTGCCGTCCAGACGGCCTCTGCTTCAGTTCGCTCCTGACCTAAACCCCCCTGCTATTCCAGGCCTGGCCTCTCATGACCAGAGACTGCTGACTCATCCTGGCCTGTGCCAAGCTGTGCAGTCGCTTAGCGATGTGGACAGGAGTCGAAGGACTAGAATGAGATCACTGAACTCATTTCACTTGTTGCTTACGGTACAGTCCAGCATGAGCTGGAAATATAGGAACCTCAGCCTCCCGAGCAGAAAGAGTAAGTAGATTAAACACACCGCATCACCAAGTCCTCAACAAGCAGCAGTTGGGTGGAGGGTGGGGCTGGCTTTCTCATGGCTGGGGCTAGGGCATTGGGGTTCACCAGGAGTGTTCCTTTGTCCTCTCTTCTTCCTCTCCTCCAGAGTCAAACCCTCCCCCACCCCTCCCTGAACTTCCCTTCTGAAAATGTCCGGATGGCACAGCAATGATCTGGGCAGAAATGAAATTTTGCTAACAAGCAGCCTCCGCAAGAAATCCTGGAACAGTGACACTGTTGAAACTGCTTAGTTTAGTTTGTCTACTGGGAACGCACACGAACTTCCCAACAGAATTCAAGAGGATGAAAAAACCTTTTTTTGTTCTCCTTTTCTCCTTGATTCTCCTTTTTCTTTCTGTTTCGAGGGAGGTAGTTTCAGGAGACATGGCTGCATTCTGGTGTGGTGTAAAGTTTTCCGTCGGGAGACAATAATGTACATTCCTCTGGCAGGACGGAATGGTGTGTGTGTTTTTTTTTGTTTCTGTTGCTGTTGTTTATTTATAAGACATTTCCTCTCAGTTAGTGGAAGTTCGATCGTAAGAGGCTCCAGTGATTTTCCTTCCACCTCCCCTCCCTAATTTCTGTGCTTCAGCACTCTGGAACACTGTGAACTCGACAAGCTAATCAGAGCAGGGAGCTTAGCAGCCAGGCCTGGACACTCTCAAGAGACTGTGCTGATTCTCAGTCGGCACTCCTTGGATCAGGAACCACAGTCTTGGTGAGTGGTGAGGTTCCAGAATTTGATGTGTCAAGGATTCTATTCTTGGTGTCTCTGAGGCAGTCAGGAAATAACGGGTGTTTTTAAAAAGAGGGGGGGAAACACAATTCTTTTAAAAAGCTACCAAACAGTCCACCGTAATGGCGAAGATTTCAGTGTGCACAGCCGAGACCACTCTATACACAGTGGCAGAGTGTGTGCCAGGAGGACCCGCAGCATAGGTTTCATGCTGCCCACATGGATGTCAGCCTTGACATGCCTAGCACACATGCTGGTAGGAGGAGGAAGATAGGTGAGTGAGTGGGGAGGTTGGTCTTATTCGGGGTGGTAGGAGGGGGAAGTGAAAGTGGGATTCATCGTGCATTTGAAGTTTCTCTGTGCCAACTTTTCAGGCATCTCTATTCTGAACACTTACATTATGCTCAGAATACTTCTGAACTCAGCTAAGCAAGACAGAAAAGTGGATGCTTAGCAAAAGAATATTGTGAATACTGTTCTTTTAAAGATCTCTTTGCTAAAAACTGGTTGCTTTTCAATGTTAGGGAACCTCCCCCAACCCAACCTTTTGGAAAATATTATTTGTCACACCTTCTTCTTTATTCTTCTGCATTCATGGTATCGAACAGAAGGATGCAATGAGAATCCTTATTTGGTTTCAGGGAAATTTATCATCCTGACATAGGAAAACTAGATGACTGTCCTCACAGTATTAAACCCAAATATAGTATTGTCCTCAATACAAGAGACTCTGATTGAATGTGCTCTGGGACGTTGTCTAAGGAGTGGAATGGGGGTGGTTGCGTCCTGTCGAGTATGAGACTAACAGAGGAGTCAACAGACCTGCTTTTGGAGTCAATTTCAGCTGAAACGTGTGTGTCCTTTACCATCAGGTCTCGTTGCTCCTCCAGGGTCATTAGATCTTACAGTGTTTTCTTGTCTTCTTTTCAATTTCAAGAATCGGGCATGTTCCAAAATATTGAGTGGAAACAAACAAACAAACAAAAAACATGGTGGCCATAAAAGCATTTGGCTCTGTGGCAGCATCTGAACTGAATTGCTCTTTGGAGAGAGGGAGGAGCCTTTGATGTCCCCAATATGGTTCTCATAGGCTGAGACTTCCAAGAACCACAACCCAGCCTAAGGGGCACTTACTCGATGTTCTTAAATATTTGGAAAGAGATGCTATTTAATTGTTTTCGCTTTCCTTGCTATTAACACACTGCCAGTAGATTCCTCCTAAAAGTTGAAAATGCTTTAGCGATAGTTATTTTACATTTAACCAGATGTGTGCTGTGTATGTCTATTGTGTGTACTCTGTCCAAGCCGGTGGAGTCATCCAACGTATTACATTGGTACTTAGCTTTGGGATTTTGTCTGCTACTCTCGGCGATTCACATTCTTAACCATGTAACTCATGTGTGCTCATATATAACCGAGTCCCCTACAGAGACTGCCCCCTGCTGCAGCCTCATCAGGCTCTGTCAGTGACTCTCTGGAACAGAGTCCACTTCCTGTCACAATTCCTGTAGTTTAGAAGGCACACCAAACTCCTCAGGTGTCACTGTGACAGGAGGCAGTCTTCAAGTTTTATTAAGACCAATATGTGCTATAAGTTTAATGTATATAATTTGCCTATTTTGGTTAGGCACATTAGTTATGATCATACTATTTGTAAATATAATGTTTCTTGGGGGTTTGTCATTAGGTTTCTTGTTTGCTAAAGAAATAAGTTGAATTGGAAAATGATGATATAAAATTTTAGTTACGGTCTAAAAACATGTAAGTAGCTTTTAGCCCATTACTGCCAAGACATACACAGGAGGTTGTGTCTTCCTCAGTTAATACTCAGGTTGCACAGACTCCCAGAGAAATGTCGTTTAGTCTAGGGATGTCTATTAGGATTGCCTTAAGGGCAAGCTGGATTTTTAACACTTGGAAGACATTTTTTTTAAATATTCTATGTTTGTATATAAAATTTTGTCAGTGTTGTTAAGCAGAGAATAGGTAAACACAAATATCTAAGAAATGGCATTTAACAAAGATAACCTGCCAGAGAGATTTTCCTTATTGTTGCCAAGATCTGGAGCTCCACGTGGCTGTGGAAGAATCACATAGCTAAGCTAGTGTCTAAGAGTCAGAATTTGATCAGTATACCTCTAATAGAAAGGCAGGATAATGATGTATTTCATTCTGCTTAAATGGTTGTGTTAATAGTACCTATTTTTTTTCCAAAACCTGTCTTTAAACCTTTATAGTATACTATTCAGAATTCAGTATTCTAGTGCTCATTCTGAAATTTTTTATTTTATTTCATAAGATGCATGTTTTAAAATGTATATCTCCTTGCATGCACATTGGCTATAAGTACTTCCTATGTTATAGTCATTTAATGAGACAGTCATAATTAGACACAAATGACATTGCTAAATAACAGAATTATGATTGACCCAATAAGAAATTATTCTTTCTTATTTGTATACAAAAGATTTTTTATACTTATGTGATTCATTTAAAAAGATACATGTTTTAAAAGTTAAGAAAGGGTTGATTCATTGTATCATGTGATTGTGTATCTTTGTTATCTTATAAACTCATATGCACATTCATAATCATATACCTATATTCAAGATTAAAATATAACCAAATATTAGCTGGGCTTACTTTCTTTGAATTCAATGAAACATTTTTTTAAATTGATCATAAGTAAAGTATTGTTGACATTTTATCACACTTATAACAGAAATTTTACACAAATACTTATGAACAGTACCTGTAAAAGGTAAGATTTGTTTAGCTGGTAAGATTAGTAATTATTCTTTATCAAATATGCATGTTAGATGATAAATCTAAATTCTATTATGCACAACATAAAAGTATTAATTGCTATATGTATAAAGTAGTTTAAAATTAAATGGAAAGAAAATAAATTTCTATTATCTTAAAATTGAGAATGTATTTAGTGAATTCACTCTATATTGTAAGAATGAGTATATGCACAAATGACCCAGTTTATTCTAGTTTCTCATCTATTTAGTTATACTTGAAATACTTTGATGCTTTACTTACATATCAGCATCAGCAACTACAATTTTTCAGATACCTTTAAAGATACTGAGGCAAGTCACATCCTTGTCAAGTTCCATTTTTTCTCTGAACCTTTTCATAATAACCTGAATGAAGAGTGAATTTCCCCTTCTCCATTGATAGCATTTTAAAAATCTATAGCTTTCATTTATCACTTATGATATACAGCAAGATGTATTCACTGTCAATGTATTGGCATATGGACAGCCATGCAATCATTCATTCACTCACTCATCACCTGTTCATTGCTCTTCCATTCAGATTGAGGCAGTTTGACATTATTTGGGAAGGAGATAAATAAATATAAAATGCAGTACCTGTCCTCTAACCACTTATACCAATGGTTCTCAACCTTCCTAATTCCGCGACCCTTTAATACAGTTTCTCATGTTGTGGTGACCCCCAACCATAAAATTATTTTCGTTGCTACTTCATAACTGTAATCTTGCTACATTATGAACATAATTAAAGCATAGTGATTAATCACAAAAACAATATGTAATTATATATGTGTTTTCCGATGGTCTTAGGCAACCCCTGTGAAAGGGTCTTTCGACCCCCCAAAGGGGTCGCGACCCACAGGTTGGTGACCCACAGGTTGAGAACCGCTGACTTATACGTAGTTTCATACATGAAAAAAACCACTTCAAAGAATCTGCAGTGCTCTGGGACATCGGAGGAAAGGGCCTCTTTCACACCCTAAATGGTTTGCTGTTGACATGAAGCACAGCCAGGGAGTAACTTCATATACTACAAACCGACTGTAACAAACAAAACCAAAATACTGTGTAAGATATGCTTTAATAATATCTATTATCTGTGATCAATCAACTTGGCAATCCCCAAACTATATCAAATTCTATCTTCTATATGGGAGTCTTTTCTAGAGCTTCCAATATATATAAGTGAATTGTACTGGTTTCATTTTCATCTTTTTATTTTTCCTGCTTATCCTCCAGTACACTAAATTTCTAGAGGTAAGAGCCAGAGGGAGAAAGAGAAGTGATTCACATAATGGATAATTAACCCTTAAACAATGGAAAGTTAACTCTCTACAGACATGCCAAAAACCAAAGTGTTTTGTTGTTGAATTTGTTCTCCTTTGGGTGTTAACACATAGAGGACATCTCCATTAGCACTGACTTGGCACCAAACAGCCTGTGCATCATCAAGCTATGAATGCTATGCTCACCTTCCAGTTCATTCTGGCAGGATTTATAGTATGACATCCTCTTGGGTAGTCACATACAATCCACTGTGAGGGGTAAAATTGTATGAGTGCCTAATCCACTTTTGAAAAGGATCTGTTTTATGAAAAGGACCTAATAAGGAAAGACACACATTGTAATAAAAAGTATTAGCACCTTGAACCTCCTGTTAATTGCCTTCCTAGTCAAGAGGAATCAAAACAGTGTAGTAAATGTTAGAGGTTCATACTGAACCTAGTGCAAAGGATCGTTTTTACCTTTTAATAGTGGATTGAAAAGAGTAGCAAACATTAGGCTACCCATGTAGCTTTAATTTGGGCTCCTAACCTTCCTGGGACTCAGCTACTTCATTTGTCTAATGAAGATAATAGTACCCATTCTACTTATTTTCCAGCATTGTTATGAGGATCGGATTACAAAGACTGTCTCTTCATTGCATTCATTAAACATGGATTTAACATTAATTCATTCATTCACTAATTTATTTATTAATTTGAGAACATTTTTGAACCCATACTCTGTGTCAGGTATAATTCTAGAAGCTAAAGACTGATTCATTTAATAACAAATATTTATTGAGGAACACATACTATGCACCTAACACTTTTCCAAGATCTGGGATACTACAGTAAACAAAACAAAGAAGTCTCCAATCTCATAATGCTTACTTATTTTTTAGGCAGGGGAGAAAGATGGCAAACAAGTACA